ACCGAGAGGCCGGCTGCGCGTGTTCTGCCCCGGTGCCTGTCAGACCTGCCGCGTCGGGCTTGGAAAACCCCCCCTGCCCCCCTCCATCCCTCATCGCGGAGTGTTCCCTTCCCAACGGAAGGGGAGCCGCCTTTCCCCCCGGGTGAGAGGGGCACCTCGTTCGATTGGGGGGCTTGGGGACGCCGGATTGTAAAATATCGATCACATCGGGATCGAAAAAGATTTCAGAGTCACTCTGGTAGTGGTTCTGAGACTTGGACCCCGGGCGTGGGGAGGGATCGGAGGACGTATACTGCGGTGAAAAGGATACCCCGGGGGAATACCTTTCGCTGGGCTCTCGGGTGTGCATACGCAGTGAGGCCCCAACGGTTCCACCTTTCATTTTGCTGTCATCCGACTCGCAGTATAGAGCAGTTCGGGCTCGTGGGCGCTGCCTCTGTACATTATCACATGTGCCTATGTAATAGAGGGGATGCGCGCTACTAAAATCATACGGATCGTCATTACAAATGTCCTCATCTACACAGTAAGGGTGAGGTGGATGCGTAGAGGAATGTCCTTGTGATAGCCTGTCTGTAGTGCGCTCAATGCTCTCAACAAGCCCCCGTGAGCTCTGCGCAAAGGACTTTGAGGCAAGATTTCCCTTTGGTGAAGAGATCGGGTGAGTTTTCTGCGGCAGGTGTTGCCTATTGACAGCTGTCCGCATCATAGAGGGTAGATTCCATGCAGGTCGACACTCCGCGTTGAAGAAATGCTCCCTATCGCCCTCCTCACTACCCTGAGCCTTGAACTTGGCTTGAAATAAAACGGATTGCTTATGCTGGTCGCTAAGCGGCTGGTGTTTCCCAAGATATGTCGGTGGTGCTGATGGCGATGATGAAGAACTCGCATGCACAACTCTCGCCCGATCTTTCACCTCCTCACACTGCTCCGGGGATGCAATGGATTCGTCAAAAATACACGATCTTGATCGATAACGCTTCCATGGTAGTAGATTTGCATGCGAGTCTGATTGAACATTATCGCTCTCTGTATTTCGCAGAAGTTCTCGTGGCTGTGCCCACCATTCCCGCTCCATGGTGCAGCGAAGTGCCTCAGCTTCCTTCTCCTTCCCTGCTATTTTGGTGTATGCCATCTCCAATTTAGACGCAAGCTGGGACTTCGCTAATTCTGTGTCCAGCAACTGCTTCTGCAAGGACTCAATCTGGTTTTCAAGGAGCTGCTTCGACCGCGACGCTGTCTCAGCCTCGCGTTGGGCACGGTTAGCGGCAAGAGTACATTGGGAAGCCTCCTCACGGGCAGCGTCGACTACTGTCTTAAGTTGTTTTAGCTCGCGACGAAGCTCCCACTCAATGGTACCTGCATCCTTCCATAGTTCTCGCTTCTCGTTTTCCTTGTGCTCCAGTTCCTTATCATGATGTGTATGAGCCTCACGGAGAAGATCTTCCGCGCGCGCGCGATCCGCTTTCGCGATCTCATAGAGCCTCCGAACCTCCGTCACCTCTGCCCGCCAGCCGGCCTGCAGATCATGATGCAGCTGTTCATGAGCGTGCCGCTCCGATTCGTTTCTCTTCACAACCTCAACGCTGCTCGCGCGAACCTGCTCTAATGTCTGCTCCAAATGCAACCGCATCGAATCCTTCTTTTCGCAGGCTCTCTCAAGCTCCCTCAGGCGCCACCGAAGTGCCACGACGTCCTCCTTGGACTCCGTGCTCTCCGTAGCGAAACGGCGCAAGCCCTCCTCCAGACGGCAAGCCTCCCGCGACAACTCCTGCTCCCGGAGCTCCAGCAGCTGCTCCTTCTCCCTGAAGCCCTCACGCACGTTGACCTCGATCTCGCGCAGCTTCTGGGTGAGTCGGCGCGCGTGGTCCTCCTTCACAAGCTCAAGGCTCTCCTGCAGGCTCTCGACCTGCTTTCGCAGGATGCGGTGGCCCTCCAGGAGGTTCCCCCGTTCCTTCTGTAGTTCGTGGCACTCCTCGTGCGCGGTGGAAAGCTGCTTCTGTAGGTCCGCCGTGTTCTCCCGGCGCGCGGTGCGGTAGCCGTGGAGCTGGTCAGCCTGCAGGGCGCACCGCGCCTGCGCCACGCGCAGCTCTTCGCCCAACGCGTGGACGTGCTCACGCAGGCTGTCCAGCGTGATGGACTTGGACCGGGCCTCCTCGGACACCCGCTCATAATCCCGCGTCAGCCTCTCAAAGAGGGTCTGGAGCTCCGCCAGGGCCTTGGTCGTGTGCGCGTGGTCGGGCCACCGCCCTTTGGGACGTTGAGAGCACAGCTGGGTTGGATCGGGCCGCGGTTGCGATGGCGCGGGTTTCGCAAGGGGGACGGCGAGGTGGTCGGGCCCCACACCATTGGAGATGGTGTGTAGACTGTCGACCACGGTTGTGGTGATTCCTTGCGCACGGCTTTCACTACTGCTGGATGTAAACCTGCTAGTGCTGTCAATGTTTTTCATGTTACAATCATGCATTTTGTGCGAAGGGGTGGGTAGAGGCTTGGGAAGGTCGTGGGGATACAGTGTGGGGGTAGAAGGGTCTAGCGGTTTAGAACTGGGGAAAGGAGTATATTTCTTCTCAGGGTTCGCCCCGGTGTCGCTGATGTCTTCAGTGTTAAGAAGTTGTCGAGCAACAACCGGATCACGATGTGAAACGAAGGAGGATTGTACGGCAATGGACCCATTCTCCAAGAGCGGCGATACACTAAGTGAATTCAGAGATTGCATAGAGATCGAAAGGTATACCTCGCCTCGAGTATCTCTTTTCTATAAACTTTTCTGTTATTTAAGCAATAGCGATGATTTCGCAATAAGTCTGTCTGTGTATGTATCTATGTAGAATCAAATACTACAATATTATTCTATATATATGTCAAAAATCTTAATTGAATTGTTACGCTAGCTCTTTAGGGTTTAGAAATAATATGATTACACAAAAATTCTCATATTTTAGTATCTAGATTTATATATGGATAGAAAAAGAGTCTTCACTAAAAGATGAAAAGTGACACACACCTTTAGTGAATTCACTTTTGTTTGGTTGGTCTATTGGTCTTGAAAATAAAGCGTAGGAACAGAAATAAAGGGAAATAGGAATGACCACAAAAAATAGAAAGTCTGTCTGTAGGAAACCACCAAAATCAGTCCGTCACTAAATTAATAAAAAAAAAGATAAAGGTTATTTCAGATAATTCCCTTTCTATTTGGTGTGGTTTACAATTTTTCTAGACTTTAGGACAGTGGATTTAACATATTAAACCTTCCCTTAATCGCTTCCATACCTCCGTATATTCTGACTTGTCCTGCGCCTACAACTTAAACAACCTATATATATTCATTAAATAGAAATATACTTTAGCCTATAACGATAAATAAGCCCAATAAAAGTCAAATAATAGAAGCCTTCTGAATTATATATACATATATATATATATATTCAGCTTAAATAAATCATGCGGACCTCGTGGTAACAGATGATGTAATGCCCATGGGCGTGCGTTGTCTAATCAGAGCGTAAATGGCAGCAATTTCCTTCCGCATCCGCGAAAGGAAGCTCAGAGCGTGCGTGTGAACCCCTACTGTGGTTGGTGAGGTTGACTCGGTGGAGGAAGCCGCTGAGTGGAGGGTGGTGCCGAGGATCGGAGAGTTCGTTTTGTGAAGAGACATCGTCTCACTGTTATGCCGCACCTTTCGAACGGACGGGGACTTGCTCCCAACCGTCGCTCGCGCTTCTGGAGAGAACAGTGAGGGATCGGTGCCGGTCAAGCTCTCGCTTTCCGTCATGGACGCTCCCAACTCTCGCATAAGAAAAGAAAAGGAATCTATGTGGGCCCCTGCCGCGGAAAGGTATGATAAGCATCTAACACAACGCGGATCACCGCTGTGCTCGTCGTCTCCAGTAGAATGTGACTTCGAGGAAAGGTTCAGGTGGGAAGTGCTTCCCGTGCTGCTCTGTGGCACACGCAATCGTACACGCGAAAAGTCGGGCCGATCTTGTTGTGGAGTACACTTTAAAACGACCGATACGTTAGTGGAACTCACGGGTGGCTCATAGACACATCCTCGTATCATCAGCTCAACCTCCTCCTGCGCCTGAACAACGTAGTACTGTATTAAAAAGGGTAACACGAAGCGAAGGTCATCTTCAGAAGCCTTCGTGGCTCGAGCTAGCTTTTCAAGATAAATACATGCTCGTAGAAAGTTCTTGCGGCCGATATAGTAATTCCCGATGGTGAGCACCATGTTCGGATAAACATCCGAGTTGCGGGGTTCGTAGACCTCCGCGCGCTCCAAACATATAATACTCTCTCCCAACCGACCCTCGTGCTCAAGGCATTCGCTCACCGCAATCCACATGCGCGGGTCGGTCGGCCTCAGCGACGTGGCATGCCAATAATAAAATAAGGCGTGATGATAGGCCTGCAGAAGCTCGTAAATCTGCCCGAGGTTGTACCAACCGCGATAATCCCTCTCATCGAGCGCCACAACAGTACGATAGGCCTCGATCGCGGCATTGGTGTTCTTCGTCTCCACATATGCATGCCCCAGTAGGGTCCACGCCGCCACGAAGTGCGGCCGAATTGCTGTCGCGCGTCTAAAGTGCAGCACTCCCCGCTCATGTCGCTTCAGGAGGACGTAGTAATTCCCTACAACGAAGTTGCTTTCGGCGCGGAAAGGATCCGTGTGGTACATCTTCTGAGCAAGGCTGCTCAGCGTAAGTGTGTCGGGTTTCATGAACAAGACGTTAGAGTAGTCAACGATAAAGTCCATGCGATAGGGATCGGTGCTGTGGATTTCCTCATACACACGCTCCGCACGTTCCATCTCCTTCCGCTGATGGCAAAAGTAGGAAGCCATCTGAACGCGGAGATAGAGGCTACGTGGGAACTTGCCTTGAATCAGCACCTGCCAAGTGTTGAGCATCCGACGTGGGGATGTCGCGCTGGGATCGGGCTGCCGCCCTAAAGCCGCCGCGCCGTTAGGTGGTGGCGACTTCGTCAGGGTCGCGCACGCAGAGAGCGGGGCCAAACCCAGAGTCGCCTTGGCGTGGGCCAAGAAGATCTCTACCATAAAGTCCGGTTCCAACTCCTCTAGAATCGCGCGGAGCTCCTCGAGCTGGGACTCCTGATTCACGAGCGTCTCGAGGTCTTGCCAGGCCATCCATAGGAGCGGGTTCACACAGACGCTGGCGAGGAGGTAGGTCGCGCTCTCCTGTCTCATGCCCAAGTCGCGCAGGACGATGCCCAGAAGCCAGGTCAAGTAAGGGTCCTGGCGTAAAAGCAGCCCCACAGGGCCAGGGGGAGAAGGGGGACTGGGCGGGGGGGAGGACGAGGTGGAAAGGGAGGGGGACGGCCGCGCGTCGCCTGAGGGCCCTCCCCCCCCCACAACCACACAAAACCCCGGATTCCGCAGCGCCTCGAGCAGCAGCGCCCGCAGAACGCGAAGGTGCGGGTTCATCGCCCGGTACGGTGGATCCCCCGTCCCCGACCCACAGCCGATAGGGGAGTTGGTGTGCTTGTACTTCTCCCCATCCATGTAGAACGCGTAAAGACATATAAAAACAACACAGGATGGCAGGCGGGTGTTCTTGAAGGAGGCCCCCAGCAACGCTTCACAGAG